CTGTTCTCCCACATGTGCCATACAGCCACCACAAAAATCAAGAAGTCGAACTCCAATGGTTCGCTAATCCAGTCCATTAACCATTGCCTGATATGGACAAATAATTTAAGCTTCAGGCAAATACCATAACCTTTCTGCTCTTTCCGTATTTCTTTAACATATTGGCATTACAAAAAAACAATGCTCCACATTTTCCTCTCGATTACAAAGATGACAATCATACCTTGTTGGGGTTGATCGCACATGAATAAAACCAACTTCATCTAGTTAGGGCATTGAATTCTCAATAGTTTTCTCCAAGCTTTTTCCATAGTCCCCTGATTTGACCATGCTAACTTTAGCATCATCACTTTGATTTTTCCAGAGTAGTTGTGATCTGGCAAGGTTATATGCATCTGACTGAATATATTCCGCACTTATGTGTGAGGCCAAGAGGAAAATCAGTACAACCTTCGGAGCTTCAATAGAAGTTTCCTGAGGATCCTCTCTGCAATCTCTGCAGGAAAGAGGTTCAATGCAAGTTTCCTGAGGGAAGGAGATAACCAATCGAAGAAAGAAAAGTAGTGTAGCCACAATTAATAAAGGCAAGAAATAGTACTATGCTACTAATAATTTTTTTTACTAAAGCAGTCAGTACAATAAGACATAGGTTAGAGAAACAAAAGGGAATAAAAGTTATAGTAGTTATACCTTAAGTAAAATATTGGCATCAGTAAAGTTACTTTAATTCTAGTAAAAAAAAGTGTCAAGTGCTAACCTTAACAAGCACCAGCTCAAAAGTGGTAACCCTAACACATTCTTATGTACTAGAAAAAACAACTCCATTATTTTCCTAAACATGTTTCTAAAATGTTTAGTTCTACTCTAAAACAGAGTGATCAACCCACTAAAACAGATTGGCAAGTCGACTTTTCTGATTAGCCTGAGAAAGCAGGACTAGTACATTTTATTTTGCACATTGTCCAGCAGAGACGAGAGTACGAGACCGCACCTACGAAGGCTAACATTTGCAGTTTCGTAAACCCTCCTTATTATTAGTTTCTAGGTGTTGACAAGTAAAAAGCTTTGGCTCAAGGATATTATTTCATCCAAATTGTTGGAGCTGGAACAGACTTAAACAGATGGTTTCCCAACATAGTTGACTCATGGATGCAGAAAATTAAACTAGATAATCCAGCCATAGTTTCAATTTGAATCCTTTAGAAGAAAAACATAGCAGGAAATTGTTCATGCATCATCAAAAGATTATGATCATTTCTGACACTGACCTTTCTCAACCTTTTGAGCTAGCATGATCACATTACATGGTGCACACATATGCAAACATCTGTGAATATAACATCAAATCAGAAAAAACAAGAGACCAAGAAAATCTTAGCAGTGCAAACACCTAGATAGAATTGTATGTGTACACATTAGAAGATAAGCAACTCTTGCTTTGGATAAGGGATATATTACTTTCATCCAAATTTTTGAAGCTGGAACAGAGTTAAATAGATGGTTTCGCAACACCTTTCAAGCATGGATGCGGAAAATTAAACTAGATAATGTAGCCATAGTTTCAATTTGAATCCTTTAGAAGAAAGAACAGACCAGGAAATTGTTCATGCATCATCAAGAGATTATGATCATTTCTGACACTACACTGACCTTTGTCAACCTTTGAGCTAGCATGATCACATTACATGCTGTACACATATGCAAACTTCTATGAACAATAACATAAACAAGAAAAAACAAGAGGCCAAGAAATCTTGCAAACACCTAGATAGAATTGTATGTGCACATATCAGAGCATAAGAAACTCTTGCTTAGCCACTCAGGTAAAACATTAAAAAAAATAGAACACACTAGTGTCTCACTGTCTCATATATGGCTCTACTTGTTGCACATCAAAAGGCACACAACATTCTACAGCTCATACCAAGTGTCTTGTACACATCCATAGTAGAAGATAAATAATTCTGGCTTAGCCAATAGAGTTACACACGGAAATGTCTCATACAATACATCATCTCCGTTTGAATCTTTGTGAACAGTTCACTTGAAAACGCAACGGCCAACTGAGCACCTCGTCCATGGCTTCCCATTCTCAATCAGTGGAATATTCATCAACTGGGAGTTGCCAGCCGTAGGCTGGACAGCAGCGGCACATATGGGAAATATTGCTCATGCGCGAGGTAGGTCCGCTCAATGTGGTGTACAGATGTACTTTCACGATGATCCAAATCATATGCCAACAGTTCATTATTGTTGAAATCAGCCATAAAGATGATATTGGCATGTGGGTGTACTCCGACGACTTTGAGGTCCCAGCCGAGACAAAAATTCTCCTTTGGAATCACTTCTGAAAGCTTGTGCAGCAATATCCAATGCGTGCATCCGTCGTCCAAATAAGACGCATCCCAGTTATAGATCCCGCTACCGAGAACGTAGACAGATATAGTTGAGAATGAGGTCGAGCCATATCCTTCTTCACTGTCGTCAGAGTTGATATAAAACAGTTGTCCTGCAGATTTTCCGATGAAACCCGAGAAACTCGGATCGATGAAATTTGGCACGGGGATGGTCCTCCATTTTAGCCCTTGTGCATCAACAATTGCCAGCCCATCAAGATGTATGAGCAGGTGCAAACACCCCCCACGGAAAACTCCAAGTTGACCGTCGCACAAGCTAACTTGGATGTCCCATTTGGGTTCCATTGCTACCCATGCACCAGTTTGGGAAGAGTAAATGTTGAGTCCTGTGACAACCGGGGGAACCCCATCCTGGTCTTGGTCTGGCCATCCCATCACAAACTCGAACACATGAAACTCTTGAGTGGAGACACCACTGTCGAAGCCCAAGTAAGAGCCAAAGCACTTGCCGGCGTAGCCAGAGTGGGGCAGCAGAGTATACTCACTGGTAGCTGGATTGGAGACCATGTAGCCAAATTGTGGCTCCGGCGTGCCCCTCCCAATCCGGGTAAGAAACAGCCCATCGCAGGAATCCTTGACAGTGAGGAAACAGTCTGCGCTGTCTGGCGGTAGTGGCAAGCGCGGGTAGGTAGAAGGCACGCTTGACCAAGGGAAGGCAGACAGGTCGGCGTAGTTGACGGCCAAGCCGCGGGACTCGGCAGAGTCGGCCGGGATGTGGTAGAAGAAACCGGCCAGGGACTGCACAATCTTCTTCCGATTCGCCGGATCGGCGATGAGGTCGCGCCAGGCAGGGCACACACACTTGCAGATGCAGAGTGATTTGTAGGGCACTCGAGAGAGGATCTCCGCCATTAGGTCGTGGTCGAGCCTGGACATCGGCTCCTCCATGCCGTGTGTCCTCCGCGAGCGCTGGCTACGGTTCGTGGGTGGAATAGGTAGGCGGTGGCAGCGGCGGAGATGGATGGATGGCGGCGGCGGCGGCGGCGGCGGAGTGCCTTTGGAGCTGGGGACTCGGAGTGGGGATGGGGACTGGGTGGTGCTCGGGTCGGGTGTGGCATGGGCCAACTAGGGTGTGGCCGTGTGGGGCGTTTTTGAGGGAAATGTGTTTATAAAAAAAATCAGGGAAATGAGTTTATTTTTTTGATAAAGGAAACTTTATTATTTTAAATTTTTAAGCATTACACCTGGCCTCTACATAACTGAGATGCAAGTGCAGAGAAATCTCTACTACCTAAAAGAACCGTAAGGTTCCGTTTCCCGTCTTACGTCCCCCGCATCGTCCGACTCTCCCGCGATCGATCTCCCTCCCACATCAATTTTTTTCCTCCGGTTTATTCCAAACGATATTTTTTCCACGAAGCAATTTTGTTACAGTAACCCCACGAGGTGCACGTCCCCATGTCTCCCGAAAATCCCTCTCCTAAATCTAAGCCCTAGCACCCGCGCCGCCGGTCCTCCCTTACAGCCACGCTGTCGATGGTTCATCCCAAACCCTCCGCCGTCACCAGCACTCTAGCCCACGCCCCCAACTAGAGCTTTCACCACCATGGACGTCATGTTTGTTGGCTGTCGCCACAGCCGTTTAGCAGCAGTCTGCGGCCGCAGCCATCTACCAGAAGGTCACTGCCTCTCCAAAGGGCACTGCCTCCCTGTGGCCATCGCGTCAACCATCTCGTGCTCTCCTGTGTCACTGCAGGTCGCCGCTTTTTGCAAGCTAAGAGAGAAACTGACGAGGAGCAGCTGTCGGCACATCGTCTATTAATTTCTTGAGAGGTGAGGCTTACACTGATCTCGTACGTAGCGTGTTTTGAGTTTCACATATTAGTCTTATATCTATTGACCAATTAAGTCTTACACATACTTTGCTAGATTGTAGCAAAGAGAGGACTTGAAGCTGGGACGAACCAAGGTTAATCAAGGGAGCATCAAGGTCTGAACATGATAATTGACAGAATAATTGAATCATATATATATGAATGTCACTAAAACTGTTAGGGGATCATTGTAGTTGTTGACGCAACATGAGGAGGATATCAAAGTTGTGGATCAGTCCAATGATTTAGAGAATGTGTGGTTGTTGGTTTGGACCCGTCCAATTCAACCAAAAAGGCATGCTATGCGCTGGTCGACGCCTTATATAGGTACAGTTAAGATAAACTCTAATGCTTCCTTCCTACGAGGATGAGTAGGCCGCCCAACTTGGACGGAGGACGACCTGTGATGATGAACTTGAGCAGTCACGCAAAGCGCTTTCCAAAAACCTAATTCGTCCTCTCCTAATGCAGGATCGCAAGGACGAATGGTTCCGGAGACCCGCACTCCCGCACACCGGCGTTCGGGATAGACCAGACTACGATAGCGGCACAAGTTGCGAAAAAGGCAAAACCCAAGGTGTTTTGGTGTATCTTTGGCCGGGGCCAGGAAGCAGTATATATAGGAGGACCAGGAGACTGTTAAGTTGAACTTCTGCCAAGAGTTTTAAGTTACATCCGTCCACAATTTGACAATGGACCATGTCTTGAATTGCTAGTTTTGTGTGAACATGTTTCACTCAAAGTCTTAACCAGTACCTAGCTGCCAGTAGGCTACCCCGCGGTTTGAAGCATATATGTTGTACTCCCTGGTCTCTTCGTGAACTTACTAGAGATCACCCATTCCCCTCGATGCATTATCTATCACATTTCTTGATAGTCCCCTTGCAAAGGGATCTTCCAGGTTTTGAATATACATAACAATTATTACTCTGGAGTTTCTGAACTTCCTAATAGACTTCAAACATGTCTTCACATGTCTTGATGACTTCACATTATCCTTAGAATTATTCACTTTAGCGATAACCGTTTGGTTGTCACAATTCATAAGAATAGCCGGCACAAGTTTTTCAACCACAAGCAAGTCCATCAAGAGCTCACACAGCCATTCTGCCTCACCAGTGGTTGCATCTAACGCAGTAAGTTCTTCTTTGATAGTTGACCTTATCAATATGGGATGTTTGCAAGACCTCCATGACACTGCGCCACATCCACGAGTAAATACATACCCACTTGTTGCTAGAGTACATCAACATCATAGATCCAATTCGAATCACTATATCCTTCTTGCACAGTAGGATACCCTAAATAGTGAATTTTGTAACTCATAGTGCCTCTCAGATAGAGCAAAACCCTTTCTAGTGTATGCAAATGGTCATTGCCCTGGTTGGGCATGAACCTGCTCAGTTTGCTCACAGCAAAAGAGATATCTAGCCTTATTTCTCTGGCTAAGTACATGAGTGAACTGACAATTTTAGAGTATCTAATTGAACTCTCATTTCTCTCTTGTTCTTTCTGAGTGTGACGCTGGGACCATAAGGTGTTGGAGAAGGCTTGCTATCCATAAAGACGAACCGGCTTAAGACCTTCTCAACATAGTAAGATTGCATTAGAGTAATCTCACTCACATCCTTAATAAGTTTGATGTTTAGAATCACATTGACTTCTCCCAGATCTTTCATGTCAAAGCTCTTTGATAGAAAATACTTGACCTCATTGATCGAATCAATGTTTGTACCAAAGATTAGTATGTCATCCAAATATAAACATAATATAACACTATTGCCCCCACCACATGGCGATAGTAAACATACCTATCAACCTCACTAATGACAAATCCTGCAGAAGCCAAAGTTCTTTCAAACTTCTCATACCATTACTTAGGTGCATGTTCTAGACCATACAAAGATTTTAACAACTTACGCACCTTTCTCTCTTCACCCTTTACCACAAACCCATCAGACTAATCCATATAGATTCCCTCTACCAAATCTCCATTTAGAAAAGTTGTCTTTATATCCAGTTGATGAGTGATAAGTGAAGGAAATATGCCCTAAAGGCAATAATAAAGTTGTTATTTTATATTTCCTTATTCATGATAAATGTTTATTATTCATGCTAGAATTGTATTAATCGGAAACTTGATACATGTGTGAATACATAGGCAAAACATAGTGTCCCTAGTATGCCTCTACTTGACTAGCTCGTTGATCAAAGATGGTTAAGTTTCCTAGCCATGGACATGTGTTGTCATTTGATGAACGGGATCACATCATTAGGAGAATGATGTGATGGACAAGACCCATATGTTAGCTTAGCATAATGATCGTTCAGTTTTATTGCTACTGCTTTCTTCATGTCAAATATATATTCCTCCGACTATGAGATTATGCAACTCCCGGACACCGGAGGAATGCCTTGTGTGCTATCAAACGTCACAACATAACTGGGTGATTATAAAGATGCTCTACAGGTATCTCCGAAGGTGTTTGTTGGGTTGGCATAGATCGAGATTAGGATTTGTCACTCCGAGTATCAGAGAGGTATCTCCGGGCCCTCTCGGCAATGCACATCATATGAAGCCTTGCAAGCAATGTGACTAATGAGTTAGTTACGGGATGATTTATTAAAGAACGAGTAAAGAGACTTACCGGTAACGAGATTTAATTAGGTATGAAGATACCGACGATCGAATCTCGAGCAAGTAACAGACCGATGCCAAAGGGAATAACATATGTTGACATAGCAGTTCGACCGATAAAGATCTTCGTAGAATATGTGGGAACCAATATGAGCATCCAGGTTCCGCTATTGGATATTGATCGGAGACGTGTCTCGGTCATGTCTACATAGTTCTCAAACTCGTAGGGTCCGCACGCTTAACGTTCGATGACGATATGTATTATATGAGTTATGTGTTTTGGTGACCGAAGGTTGTTCGGAGTCCCGGATGAGATCACATACATGACGAGGAGTCTCTAAATGGTCGAGATGTAAAGATTGATATATTGGGAGGTGATACGTCTCCGTCGTATCTACTTTTCCAAACACTTTTGCCCTTGTTTTGGACTCGAACTTGTATGATTTGAATGGAACTAACCCGGACTGACGCTGTTTTCAGCAGAATTGCCATGATGTTGTTTTATGTGCAGAAAACAAAAGTTCTCGGAATGACCTGAAACTCCACGGAATATCTTATAATAAATAATAATAAATCCTCGCCAAAGATGAAGACCAGGGGCCCCACACCTTGTCCACGAGGGTGGGGGCGCGCCCCTCCCCCCTGGGCGCGCCCCCTACCTCGTGGGCCCCCTGGATGCCCTCCGACGCCAACTCCAACTCCATATATTGGCTTTCAGGGAGAAAAAAATCAGAGAGAAAGTTTCATCGCGTTTTACGATACGGAGCCGCCGCCAAGCCCTAATCTCTCTCGGGAGGGCTGATCCGGAGTCCGTTCGGGGCTCCGGAGAGGGGGATTCGTCGCCGTCATCATCATCAACCATCCTCCATCACCAATTTCATGATCCTCACCGCTGTGCGTGAGTAATTCAATCATAGGCTTGCTGGACGGTGATGGGTTGGATGAGATTTATCATGTAATCGAGTTAGTTTTTTTAGGGTTTGATCCCTAGTATCCATTATGTTCTGAGATTGATGTTGCTATGACTTTGCTATGCTTAATGCTTGTCACTAGGGCCCGAGTGCCATGATTTCAGATCTGAACCTATTATGTTTTCATGAATATATGTGTGTTCTTGATCCTATCTTGCAAGTCTATAGTCACCTACTATGTGTTATGATCCGGCAACCCCGAAGTGACAATAATCGGGACCACTCCCAGTGATGACCATAGTTTGAGGAGTTCATGTATTCACTATGTGCTAATCCTTTGTTCCGGTTCTCTATTAAAAGGAGGCCTTAATATCCCTTAGTTTCCAATAGGACCCCGCTGCCACGGGAGGGTAGGACAAAAGATGTCATGCAAGTTCTTTTCCATAAGAATATATGACTATTTACGGAATACATGCCTACATTACATTGATGAACTGGAGCTAGTTCTGTGTCACCCTATGTTAT